CCCGCCCGGCGCTCTCCCGCCCCTGCCGGACCGGGAGGGCTGCAGAAGCCCGGCTGGCAGCAAGTGGACGTCCTCCGCCTTCGTTTCCCGTCCCAGGTGTTGGGTCATAATCTCGGCTTGGAGGCAGACGGAAGCCGGGCTCCTCTGCTGGCTGCTGCTCCCCCCTCTCCCGCTGGTGCCTGGGGCTTCTGCATCTGCCTCGGGTGTGGGTTTGGGACACCTTGGGGGAGTTTCCGAAGGAGGAGGAGGGTCAGCCCTTGGGAGCAGCAGACAGGCAGGACGCATGGTGACCCTGGTCACACTTGTTGCCCATTGCGTGGTGGGACAGGCAGTGGTGCTGAAGAAATCTCGTGTCTCTTGCCATTGAGTCGTCAGCTGCGGCCCCAAGCGTGGAAGGCATACCTGCGTGAGGATGGGAGACCGGGATTAAGAGGAGACTGTGATGTGCTGGAGGCAGACGAGGGAGGTAGTGATGGTGATGACAGTGTGTGCAAGGGACGACTCTTTGATTCCTTGTTCTGAGGCGCGTCTCTGCCTGATCCTACATCAAACGATGTGGAGATGGAAACACAGAGGGTCCCCATGTTAGACTGAGAGAAAAGGCTGTTCTTTTTTATTTTGGTGTTTTACCAATTGCTGTCCATTCTGTCTGCCAAATGTGCATTTATATAGATTTCTGCTAATTAAAAAAATACGGGAGTAGCTTAAAAGAATTAAACTTCTGTGGACATTGGGGAGGGTGTGTGATAATGGTGAGCGCTGTGAAATGTGTAAGACTGATGATTCACAGACCCGCACCCCTGGGGCAAACAAGACATTATATGTTAATAAAAATAATTAATAAAAAGAAAAATTTCAAAGAATGGGAGGGAAAAAAAGAAGTGAACTTCATCAGGAAATGTATTAGCTTAATACACACACACACACACACATACACACACACACACCCCCCCCATCTTTTAAAAACCTGTCTGTCCCTTTTCCCTAAAAGCATATCATTGTAATGTGTTAATGTGGCATTGGGATTTAGGATTGGGATATGGACGCATCAAGGTAAACAGTCCTGGTGTTTTCCACTTCTACAGAGTAGAAACCACTGATGTGAAAAACCAGAAATATGAGAGCACAGGTAATTGGAAAGGAAAGGCTTGGAAAGCTTCCTTCAGAGAAATAATGTGGATTTCCTGTTCTTTTTATTCCAAAGATGGGTTAATTTTAGATGATGACCTTTATTTTTCACTCAAGACACACTATGTAGCGGCAGGGTGGCGTAGCTAGCCAGCGGGTGACAGTGATATCAGCTGTTATCAGCATGTCTGTTAAAAAGTTTTCCCAGTTAAAACACTAAAAGACATACCCAGTGCTGATTTTGAGCGAAGTTGCCTTTATAACTATTACGTGACAAAGGTATCTAATGGTGTGTGGCTTTAATCTGAGCAGGTGACTGTAGCAAGAGGGAAACGTGTCCACACCCGGATCCAGCAGGTTGAACCATCGTACATTGCTGAAATGAGCAGTTCAGTCTGTACAGTCACTTCTTGGAGCTCAGACTTCGTGTCTTCAGAGTCAGAGCCACTCAGGGTTTCTGCTGGTTTGAGGAGCCCTCTGCTTTCGGCCACCACTGTACAACACTGCTTAGGTCTGGGGTTTCAAATAGCTTTGTTTGCGAAGCTACTTTGTGATGGGCAACTGATGATTTATTTTCTGAACTCAGATTGTGGTAGACCTACGTTTAACTCACAGTGGTGGTCAGGAGTGTAAGGTATCTAACCCTGTGAAAGCTGACACTTTCCGTTCTCATCCTCGAGTGATTTCAGGTTCCTGTAGGGTATTTGGGTGTAATTCCACAGGGATTTCTCAGATGCTTACCTAAAAGTGTCTTTTAGGTTAGGTTGTTATTATATCAGACCTGTATTATATATACCAGAGTAATTTAACTTATATCTATAACAATTATGGACTCTAAATTCATTGTTCTGGTTGAGTTGGTGGTTTTTAAAAGTCCCCCTGTATTTGGTTTTTTTGGTTGGTGGTTTTTTGTTTGTTTTTGTTTTTGTTTTCTTTTCTGGCTACTCTGTTAACCTTTTTGGTTCAGTGTTGCCTTTCCAGTCATTCTGTAGCAGATGGCTTGTTTTCCCCTTACCAAGCAGAAGTCTAGTGTCTTTGTATTTTCTGAAAAGAAATCCATTAATGATATTTTTGAAGAGCTGAGATAAATAATAAATGGATTTACAGACACCTCAGAGTATATGGGATTTTGTAAGGGAACACATAAATGTGCTCTCATGGAGCAATTAGCTTTGTACAGAGCACGGAGGGTCTAAGGTGTAAGATAAGGTTTTACTTTTTTTCTGGATAATGTTCACTGTTGAAATGGAAGGAACTAGTACTGTCTTGGCCGCACCTAGGATTGTGCCCGAAGAGGTAGCAAGACTTTTGTTTTTTCAAGATGTCAGAGATTATATAACAAGGTACAGAGACTGTTTAATCATGAACCACTTTAGAGGGTAGGCAAAAAAGAAATGATTGGGCAATTGAGTGGTTTACTTACCATCGTGTTTTACCAGAAAATGACTGTTTTACTTTGAGCAACAATGTTTGGATCCCAAATTTGCTGATAATGCAATCCCTCTATTACAATGAATGTTTCCATAAAAATAAAGAATATTCCTTGTGTCTGTTGCTTGCGGTATAGAGGGTTAAGTTCTTGAGAACAGGAATCATCCATGAACCTTCTTCATGAGTATTCATGAGATAGTTCAGTATTATCAATTCTTAGGAGTTCAGTCTTTGTTGAGTAGCGCGGCGAACAGATGTAAATTTAAAAATTAATTAGGAAGACCTCAGGCATTGTTTTATTTATTTTATTTTTTTTTTAACTTTCTTGGTCCACCTCCCGTTTTCTTCCTCCCATCTGGAACCCCAATAGCAGCAGAGAGCTGAGACCCAACCCCTTTTCCTTGATAAAGTACTGGATGTGAGCTAGTGGGAGCGCTCTGGTTGGTTCCAGACCTTCCACCAGGAGGGCAGTGGAGTTCAGTCTGCCTTCGCTCAGCCCTTAAAGAAGCCCCTCTACTCTTCTCCGACCTAACCTTCCTTCTCTGTTGTTGTCAGTGGCGGCACCTGACTTGCTGGACCCTAAATCTGCCGCTCAGAACTCCAAACCGAGGCTCTCGTTTTCCACGAAACCCACAGTGCTTGCTTCCCGGGTGGAGAGTGACACGACCATTAATGTTATGAAATGGAAGACGGTCTCCACGATTTTCCTGGTGGTTGTCCTCTATCTGATCATCGGAGCCACCGTGTTCAAAACCTTGGAGCAGCCTCATGAGATTTCACAGAGGACCACCATTGTGATCCAGAAGCAAACATTCATTTCCCAACACTCCTGTGTCAATTCGACTGAGCTGGACGAACTCATCCAGGTAATCATGGCACAGAGGAGTTGTAACCCGGCTTCCTCCCTGGGGAAAGAAAGTCATGGCAGGAGGAGGCTACCCTAGTAGCCCAGTGGCGTGCCTGGAGGGGGCCCAATTCCACTTTCTCTTAAGATCGACTCCTCTCCTTTCTACACTTTTTCCCTCTTTTCTTACTACTTCTCTTTTCTTCTTCTCCCTTGTTTCTCCCTCCTTCTCTTCCTTCTTACCCTCTTCTGCTCCTCCTGTCCCACCATCTCCCTGATTTGTCTTTCTTTGCCTGCTCTTAGAATGGCTAATGGATGCCTGTGGACATGGGGTTGGCTTGCTGGAGGCTCTTGTGGTCAGATTAGCATTCCCAACTGAGAAACATTGCCGTGGCAAGTGAGAGGAAAACCTAAGGCAGAAAAGTGCTTTAATCATGCTGGGAGCCATCATAAGATAGAAGAGAGGGGTTTGTGGTGTGACCTTCTTGAGATGGGTGACCCTCCTGGTTAACAAGTTTCAGCTCACCTCTTTAACCCAGCCAAAGTATAACTCTGAAAAATGCCTTTTTTAGGTGCTTAGAGAGATGACGCATCCTTGCTTCTCTAAACCCTAATTAAAAGCAATTTACTATTACACAGAAAAATGGAGTGTTTGAATTCTAAAAAAATAATTTTGTTTTCATGTACTCTATCACTGGTGGAACAGTGTTCTTAAGGAAAATACTTTGTTATAAAAGTTAATCACAAAATGATTTGAACATTTCAACTAGACTACTTGGAGATGGCTGTCTTTTTGTTGTGGATTTCTTTTACATAAAACAGGTCAGTGCTCAAACCGAGAGTCTGGTCAGAAGAAAGCCCTAGAATGTTCTTTCAAGGAGAGAGCTAGCTGACTTGTTGTGGGAAACATTTTAATTGTACAGATATTCATTTTCCTGTAGAACCTACTTCTCTTAACTGGTCTAAGTCAGATTGGGTTGAAAATTATCCAAGTCATCTGAACATATTCTTCCTCATCTTCTGTTTGGTTTCAAATCATTCGAATGAAAAGTCAATTGAGGGAGGAAATTCTTACTGTTTTTAATCCAGTTTCGTATTCAAAGACCTTTTCTCTCTTTTTTCCCTTTTGCCATGGATACCCCAAAGGCCACCTCTGCCCTTCACGCCTCTCTCTGTTTGTAGACTACACATTGAAGTTCTCACTCAAGTTTTACTAAAAGCTATCAAAGATAGTATTCGCTTACCCCCTTTTAGTTCCTTCTACATTCAGACACTTCTGCGTCTCAACTACTTGACTTAGATTTTGAAAAGACTCCTCAGACACTTATATACGGCAGTATTTTCAGTATTGACAGTGAACCCGCCAATAGATATCATTGTCCCAGGTACCGCATTGTATGTTTCTCCATAAGATCACTTCTCCTTCACTCTTTGTACCACAGAGTTCTAAGAGGTACTAAAAAATCTTAAAGAATTCCCATTTTCCTAGGGTTTTAAAGGACGAGCTCTAGGTTGTCTTGGAAGTAGCATCAGATAGGAGGTGTTTTACACTCTAGCTGAGCACTTCCTAGACGCGTCACTCTGAACAAGTACCTTTGCTCTCTGAGCCTTCAGTGATCTGTCTGGTAGATTATCTACAAAGCAAGGTTGCTGTAAAGAGATAATCCCTATAAAGCATCTAGGACGTCACAACGTGTTAGGTTCCTTTGCTGCTGTTCCTATTTGCTCCCTTCCCCCCACCCCTACTCCATCCCTTCATTGGGTTGAAGTATCTGATTCAAGCAATTCAGAATGAATTCAGAACTAAGAATTCAGTTCCATTCTTAGCATCTGAAGCTAAGAAGTGTGGTGGGTTTAGGGCAGGGGGGAAAATGCCTGGAATTTCAGGACAATGCTGGAGGAAACCCTGTGTGAATTTCTAAATGGTCTCGCTGTTCTGTTCTACCTAGACTTATTCATCACTGTGAAAATAACTTGAAGGTCGTAGCAGGTGGAGACAATCTGGAGGTGGAGACTGATTATTTTTGCTCTATTGTTTTTGGAATGGAGACAGAGCTCAACAAGGACCTAATCTTTTTCTTTCCACCCCACAGAGCAATCTCTTTTAGCTTTATTAATATTCACTGCTGATGAGAATCCTCAACTTTTTTAAAAATCTCAAGTATTTTTGTGCTTATTCCAAAGTCCATTATTTATTTTCATATCACTCATCTTTAGAACCCCATGACTTTAATAAATTATTGTATTCTCTTCGAATAAAGTGTCTTCTGATAGAAGAAATGTTTATAATGGCATGCCTTCAAGGATCCAGATCAGTGCTTAAATAGGGAGGAAGGCAAATGAGCCAGTCATCTTATATTAGAATTACATTTCATTCATATGATTCTCGTAAATTTCCACATGGTTTCCCCACATTTATTTGCCCACTTAATCATCCCTTAAAACTTCCTGAGTAGGTATATCACAGCATTAAGGATTAGGGAGCTAACACACAGCAGTGTCAGGGACTTACGCCAGACGGCATTATGAGCATGAGAGATCAGGTGTTCAGAACCTTGATCTGCTGTTATTCCCAGGAGTCTTGGCTGGGTTTAGCGTTTTTCCATGCTGAGACGGGGAACCATTTGGAGAAGTTAGAAGTTCAGTCCTAGTGTTGCTGGAGAAGGACTTTTGGATTCCTTTTATGAGGAAGGAGGAAATGGGTCGTCAGACTGTGAGGTCAGGTACAGTGGATCTAATTTGGCCCCAGGTTATTAATCACACCTCTGGACGGGTTACGGTGACCTCCTAACAAGCCGTGCTTGCATCCCAGGGTAGGGGAGGCGAGGGAGAGGAGGCGCGAGAACACAGCTTTGAGGTTCCTGAGAACAGTTGCTTCTTCCGCTGCATGATCCCAGCTACGCTTTCCCTCTGAGTGCTGCCTTGACATCAGCCATCCAAGGCAAGATGGCGGGTTGAAGAGGGGCAGAGCTGTTGAGACAAAGGAATCCAAAGGGCTAAAGTATTTTGAACACTTTGATTTTCACTATCCATTACATTGAAGTTAGTGTGACGTCAGTATGGAAAAACACGGACACGCTGAAATTTTGAGTCACGAATGCCATTAACAATAGCCAAAATGTAATGAGCACTATGTACAAGGCACCATTCTAACCTTTTACATGTGTTGTCTCATTTAATTCTCAAGCAACCACATGAGATAAGTGCCTTATTAACTGCCTCTAACTTAGGTGCATACTGAGGCAGAAGGAGCTTAATTTTCCAAGAGAACGATGTGAAGAGTGCACTGTTATTTAAACCTAAGTGGACAGACTCCAAAGCTTATGCTCTTAGCTCCTGTATTACAGCCTCTAAAAAAATTAATAAACATTAATTTTGCTGGAAAGCTTCCTGTTATTCCACATATTAGAGTAGAATGAATAGCAAATTACAGTCCTCTATACATAGTGATATGTATTATATAGCATATCTCTTCCTCAATATATGAATGCGGAGTATATAACCCGAGTTTTTTGTTTGTTTGTTTGTTTTTGTTTTTTGAAAAAGAGAGCATATGTGTGTACAGGCGAGGGGTGGGGGGGGAGGGTAGCGACAGGGGCAGGAGAGGGAGGGAGAGAGAAGCCCAGGCAGGCTCCACACTCAGAGACCCATCTTGGGCTCAATCTCATAACCTTGAGGTTATGAGTTGGATGCTTAACTGACCGAGCCACCAGGCACCCCTATAACCTGGTTTTTAATGTTCTTTTTGGAGAACACTTCCTGGTTTTCTCCTGTTTGAATGTGGTAAACCAGTAGAGGCATGGTTCCTTTGGATCTCGCCTGCTGTCGATCTAGTCACTTCCATATTTGCTGAATTGGTTCTGCGATTGAAAAGGTAGATCAAGATCTATGATCTATACATCAATAAAAATCATTTTATCATTTGAGCCACACAACCCCTGTGAGGTAGGGATGGAAGGAATGCTATCTGTTTTGGGGTGGAAAAATGGATACATTTGCATGAGGTCATGTGGTCTCGGGTCTAGAGTCTTGGAATCCTCCTCCTGAGGGGATTAAATTCTCTTTGTGCTATTCCTTCTTCTCGGTTTGGTTCTTACTCCTTCAATCAGTGGCATTTGCGGGGTACGTCCAGTGGGTTGACCTTCCTGCTAGGTACTGGGGCAAGTGAAACCATCAGAAAAAACATCTTTAGGCACTCCCTCCATCAAAGTCAAGTGGAGGAGGCCACCATACACACAGCCACAGAGGCACCTGGGTGGCTCACTTGGTTAAGCTTCTCCCTTCAGCTCAGGTCATGATCTCAGGGTCCTGGGATCGAGTCCCCCATTGGGCTCCCTGCTCAGTGGGAAGCCTGCTTCTTCCTCTGCCCCTTTCCCCTGCTCATGTTCTCTCTCAAATAAAATCTTAAAAAAAAACAAACACCAAAATCATAGCTACTAGAAGATCTTAGAGATTGGAGCTGGACTACTGAGGAAGAAATGAACCACTTAATGAGAGCTAAGAAGACACACAGAAGAGGTAAAGGGAAACTGGATGTTAAATGGGAACTCAGAGTAGTCAGCGGGGGGTAGGGAGGGAGGCGAGGGGATCAGCAAATGTTCTAGGCAGAAGGAGCATGATGTGCTCCAGTAACTGAATGATCTAGACTGAGGAACAAGGGCATCAGCAAGTCTGACAAAGGAGGGCCTCCTTTACCCACACCAGGGAGGTGGGCTTTCTCCTGAACCTGCTCCCTACCTGGGGTAGATGGGCCATTGGGGCTCTTGGTTGTTTTCCAGGGGGTACCTGGAGCTGCATGCCTTCCTAGAACACCAGTGAACTTCAAAACAAAACCAAAAACATTGTTTTATATTAATTATATAGTCATTCATTCATCCAAAACTATGTATTGAATTCCTGCTATGTGCATTATCCCAGGGACAGAAATATGGTGGAGAATAAAACAGATGAACATTCTTGCCCTTGGGGAGGTTCCATCCTGCTGAGGGAAGATAGTATGTTAGATAATAATAAGTCCCAGTA